GCCATCCACCACGAGAATGGGCCCCCAAAACCTTAATGCCTATCACCACTGCACCTGATCACATCCAGACATTCCTATCTCATGCCACGCGTTTAGCCGTCCTTGTTAGTCTGGGTTTAACCCGATTAAACAACGTTGAGCCTGCGTTGAGAAGGGAGATCAAAGAAGAGAGCAAGTATCCAGGCAAGGGTTGCAGCCACGCCCTAAATTCGTGCCATGGCAGATGGTCGGTCCAATGACCATCGAGGTTATCCGGAGGTTCCCTATTAGCAATCAAACCTGCCATCGTAAATGGCCCGATTTCGAATTAGGTGATCCTGGGAGTTCCGTGTCTTCCTTGTCAATTCTATCAATCATCTCGTCACGTTGGAAAGAGGGGGGTGAAATTCCCTGCAGGCCAAGAGTGCCGATCGAGTGGCGGGCATGTCAAAGTGTCGCAACTGGTGAGCCGTGCTACACACGCTCACGTTGCCTGTTGCTCCCGCCGCCAGCACATTGCGAGGGTCTGCGCCTCCTTGGGAAATCAAGGCCGCAGAGATCGACATCTTGTATCCATGTTGACTGGCCACATTCTCCGGGAGGAGTACCATGGACCATGTGAGTGCGTTCCGACCCTTGCTGCCACGGGCCCCTGGGCCCTGATGGCGGTCGGAGAACAAAGACTGGGGAAACCCCACGCTGGATGCTGCCACACTTTGAGTCATGATGAGGAAAGAAAATTCCTTCTCATTAACCCGGAAGAAATCTCAGTGAATTAACGGCCAGTTGCAGGGAGAATAAGGGGATGTTGGCGGAAATGGCCGCCGGTTTCTTTGTTTGATCCCTCACGTCACACAGCTTGACTTCCCGTTTCGTATTTAGTCTGTGGTCGCAGAGTTAGCCTCCACAGCTTCATCTCTCTTCATCTCAATTCAACGCTTTGGCAGTGTCCCAAAATGTCGTCCGCAACAGGGGAAGCGGGCAGCATTCAGAAGGGCGACCGAGTGGTGACGACGGGTTGTCATCCGCTGGAAATCGAAGCCGGCGAGCGGAGTAGCGGGGAGGCCGGCACGCGATATGACCATAGCGATATGAATCGCATGGGCAAAGCGCAGGAGTTCAAGGTAAGATATCTGCAAATATTCAGCGACCAGCAAAATAAGGATGAGTGGCTGACCTCGTATTCAAATTTAGAGAAATCTCCGACCTCTAGCTGCCCTGAGTTTTGCTTCAGTCTTGCAGGCCACCTGGGAGTTTATTCTAATGTACATCCGCTCTCTATCATATTCTAACAGCCCACATTTCTTCAGTTCTAACGCGTCCGAGTCACTAGATCCAACTATGAAGGCCTCGAAGACGGTGGAATGGCTGGCCTGGTGTGGACATACGTGTGGACCTTTGTTGGGTTCGGCTTCATCATCGTCTCATTATCGGAGATGGCATCCATGGCTCCAACATCAGGAGGCCAATACCACTGGGTGTCCGAATTCGCCTCGCCACGATATCAAAAGTTCCTCAGCTACATCACCGGATGGATGTCCGTTCTCGCATGGCAAGCCGGCGCCGCATCAGGGTCCTTCCTCACCGGCACAATCATCCAAGGGCTCATCAGCGTGCGCAACCCCGATTACGACCCCAAACGATGGCAAGGAACCCTTTTCGTCTTCGCTATGATCTTGATCATCTACTTCTTCAACGTCTACGCAGCCAGCTGGATGCCCCGCATACAAAACGCCCTATTAGCCCTCCACACCATCTGCTGGGTAGTGGTGATCGTCGTCCTCTGGGCCATGGCACCCCGCCAGTCCGCAAAAGCCGTCTTCACCGAATTCAGTCTCTACGGCGGCTGGAATAACGTCGGGCTAGCACTAATGATCGGGCAAATATCCGCCATCTACGGATCCCTCAGTTCAGACGCCACGGCACACATGTCCGAAGAAGTCCGCGACGCCGGCCGATACGTCCCCATGGCCATCTGCGGCGGCTACTTCAGCAACGGCATCCTAGCCCTCGTACTCATCATCACACTCATGTTCGCCATGCCCTCGGTCAAAGACGCCCTAGACGACCCGACCGGATTCCCCTTCATCTACGTCTTCAAACAGGCCGTCTCCACCGCCGGCGTCAACGGCCTCACCGCGATAATCCTCATTCCCGTCATCTTCAGCAACATCCTCTTCAACGCCTCCACAGCCCGTCAGACCTACGCATTCGCGCGCGACAGAGGCCTGCCCTTCTCAAACTGGATCTCCAAAGTCAACCAGCACTACAAACTCCCCGTCAACGCCATCGCCCTATCATGCATCATCAGCGGCCTTCTCTCCCTCATCAACATCGGCTCCGACACCGCCTTCAACGCCATCATCTCCCTCAACGTCGCAGCCCTCATGTGGACCTACGCTATCTCCATCAGCTGCGTCATGTATCGCAAGATCGCATGTCCGGAGACGCTACCCCCGAGACGGTGGAGTCTAGGGAAGCACGGGATCTGGATTAACGCGGTAGCGTTGGTATATGTGATCTTCGCGCTGTTCTGGTCCTTCTGGCCGACTGAGATCCCTGTGACTTTGAATAATTTCAATTGGAGCGTGGTGCTCTTCGTCGGGGTGTTTGTGATTAGTTTGGCCATGTATGTTGTTCAGGGGAGGAGGGTGTATAAGGGGCCTGTGGTGGATGTTAAAATGGAATTATCGTAGTCGGGATGAAGAAGAATAGTTCTAATAAGAGGTCAAAATAATTATATCCCTTATACACTATGTGTATGCCTGTCAGACAGTCGGTAGTATATCAAGTAGGAGTCGCTAGCATAAAGTTCGCATAGTATCATCACAAGTCTATGACACACAAAAGTCACTCCCCAACTAAGTAGATTGTCCTCACAACGTAACTAAGTACTGATAACGTGATTGATATACAAGTCACCTGATCTACACTAACTATCAGGATACTAGAATAATACCAGATATATATATAGATACTACAACATGTTGACCTCCAGATGACACGGAGCCATAATCATGCTCAACGCATAGTATATGTAGGGAAGGGCGAATCTGCAATCGAAAAAGCATCATGACTAGGATAGAGTAAGGGAGACTCATCTTTCCTTCTTGTTTAGCCAGTAGCAAATCTCTCCAATCTGGAAATCTGAGTTCGTCGGTGTGAAGAAAGACTTACTTGAATTTATGGGGGGAAAGGTTAAACTATAAACTACTAGTAACACGAAGGTTGTTATCGATTTGTTTACTGTAGGGACCTAGGAGTAACTGGTTCTTATATCAGGTGATCACGTCACCCCTCGACTTCAGAGAGATGAGATAATCTTGCAGATACTGGTGGGTAAACCGTATAACTTGACTGTTGCAGGCCATAATGTTGAATACTTGGGCAGGAATCCAAGTAAGAAGCTTAGGTTGATGAAGTGATGCTCACATAAGTGTCAATATCCCCATTTAGCGGTGTGAAGTAGTTCCTGCTCGCTCGAATTGAGAGTTATTACGCCATAAAGTTCTACCTGGTAATAAACTGCTGAAAGCCAGACCATAGTGGATCCAGTAAGCCATTGACTTTATAAAGAAAGACCCAGATAGGTAGGAGAGGTGGATCCACCATGGACGGCAGAGCTGAAAGTTTGGCCAGGATGGAGGTGGCGGGGTACGCATTCCTGGCATGTCGCAAAACACGACAAGACGGATGAGAACCCTTCAAAGGTGAAGTTGGCTCCATATTGGTAAGAAACCAGATCAAGGTATACGGTATGGGTAGGGAAAGCCCACATAGATTGTTACGTGGGACTCCATTCAGCTGATCCTTGTTGACTGACTTTTTGCGCGGATGGCATACAAAGGCGCCACATGGGGTCGAACTAACGAAAGCGAGAGTGGCTGGCTTATCGCTGAAGAATTGCCCCTCTGGATCCTGCCAGCTGGGTCTCAACGTCGAGGACACCAGAAGATTCTTAGTGTGGGAACTATTCGGGCGCCGCGCTGTTCTTCCCGTTGACAGACTGGGTTTATGGAACATTCTTCTGCAGAGGATGGAAGGGTCGTTGTTCTGATCTGACTGCCTTATCAGCCTTCCCACCCGCACATATACTGTTTCTTCTGCAGTTGAATCAAATTGACTGTAACTTCCGTCAGGCATAGCAATAGCCACCTCCGAGTATTACCCGCCCTGGCCGGAGAAACTGCAGTAGATAGCAGACCTCGCGGCTACGGCGGAATATCGAAACCGGATAATCGGCGAAGAATGCTCCAGAAAAAAAGAAGCACATGGTGGAATGCCCTCTATGGACTCACACGTGTTGAGCAAAAACAGTGAAAGGGTTATGATTAAAAATCTCAACCCCAAGCCGTGGTGCCCCTCCGTCGATCCGACACGTGTTGACAGTAAGGCCTCACGAGGAGTCACTACAGTGGGTCAAGCACCGACACTAGAGCTGCGCCCGAGGCAGTTCTGGGTATAGTCCTCTGCATGGCATGAGAGGTAATTTCCCGTGTCTTATCCTGTGCCAAGTGAAACCTGCAGGATGATTTCATTCCAGTTGTTCAGGCCGCCTTTCCCAACATTGGATCCTCTATCTGTTGCTGCATGCAGTCGTGGATCATGGAATAGTTGCATGCCAGAGGCCTGCTTTTCTATCAAGACCATTCTTCCATCGATGGTAGATGAAAAATTCGGAAGACCCCGCTCTCGAGCCGAGTCGGATTTGCGTGGGCCAACGTGATCCGAGGTTATCAGTCAATGACACGAGCTCGGGTGTGGCCCGTTCGAGTGGAGCCCACGCTTAACTTCTCGCTTGTTCGCTACTCGCTGCATCGTGCTGCTTGGACCTCGACGTTTCGCGGTATCTTTACCCAGCGTACCAGAAGGCGTCATCCTACGGATTCTGCTTTACAGGCTGTGACAGTGTCTCAAAGTAAGCGTTTTCCTCTGTCATCTATATCAAACCAGTAAAGCGATAAAACAGTTTATGTCATGTATTTAGTTACAATCAAAGTAAAAATATTGTAGGCAGATTTTTGAGGAAAACATATGTTACATACATTGAACGTCTCTCATGATTTCATCATGTCATGGCCACATGCTCATGCCGTGGCGAAGTTCTCGCTCTGCACATTCAAATACGACACAACCCGGAGCTCACCACCCGACTGAACTGAGCAAGCGATGTAGGTGTGCAGACCACGTTGCTGGAGAGCTTCGGGCGTACTGGGTCGATTGTTAGCAACATGCACTTGGCTATGCGGACACGAGGTACTCACAATACTTTGCGCAGGGTTTCAGTATAGGTACGCATGGGCAGTTCCGACTTTCTGTTAATTCCATACATGTATTCGTTCAACGCCGTAACCACATGCCAGTCGCTTGGCGCGTAATGTCGGACGGGAATATACACCTTGACGTTGGGGGCCGTGCTTCCTGGGCGGAACTCCATGTTATACAGGATGCCCCCTGTGCGATGGTTGGCAGCTGGTAGTGGTGTATCATCAGGCACGCCAGTCTGCGCCAGAACCCCGTCCCACAACTGCCTCAGATTCCGCAGCCCAGCTTCTAGTGACGAAGTGGTAATTCGGTTACCCATCGTCATCATCTGACGCACAGAGGCAAAGCTGGTTTCGCGCGTCCGAAAGTATATCTTGAGACGCGAATCAGCCGGTCGGACCAAGTCGATAGCTAGCATGTCCATCTCCAGCTGCGGCGTCGAGGGATCCTGGGCAAAATCCTCAAACATCCGAAATGCGCCAAGCTTCTCATTGTCGGTGCAGTGAGGAGCCGTGCGGATCGCCTGTGCGAGGACTTGTAAATTTGTCTGCTTCTTGGACCTGGCCTTGAAGCCGGGGAAGAAGTAGGCCTTTCCGGTGATGTCTTCCTCGCTCAGGTCAAAGGCGTAGAAGATCTTCGACGGATGGCCCTCCATGCAGCCCTTGGGTGGCAGGTCCGGGGCCAATGCTTGATCAAAATGATCAAACCATTCCCTATTCGTGTTGGGCAATGCTCTCATCAAGACCTTCCTGAAGAGCGCGTCTGCAGATTGATTGTCGGGATCCACTTGCGTTCCGGCATTGGGGCCCACGGGCTCAATTGAGAAGCGAACCGAGGGTGCCTTCTTGCCAGTATGCCAGTCCCAGCTCAACTCGATCGGGTTATGGTTGTCCGTCATGAAACTCGGCCATCTCTTCGCTCCAGGCTCATTTGCGACCCCCAAGTGCGGAGTAATCGAGCGGCCGAAGAAGTTTAGGATGCGTCGTTGCGCATGCTCCGTGTAGCCAGCCTCCTGCAGGAGCAGATTAAACACGTACCCCGTAGTGTGCCACCAATACCGGCCGTGGTGGTTGAGGACGTTGCGGATCTCATAGTCGACCTGCTCCCAGCTTGATGACTGGAAGTCCTGTGCTCTGCTAGACTTGAGGAGATGAGCTTTTGCATGCTCGGGGATTAGGCTGAAGAGGGAGGAGAATAGGGCATAGAGGACTGAGATAAAGAAATGTGGTAGCATGCGCGGCGATGCTGGAAGCAAAGGAGAAAGACTGCCCATTTTGGCAAGCCAAGTCGGGGAAAGTTCAAGATGTATGTAGCGTACTAGTCACGCGTGGTGATGATTCTTAGTTGAGCAAGGGATGAGTAGTTGTACTGCCGCAATGTACGTCGACAACCTTATACCTTCTCCTGGCAGGAGGACACCCCGGGACGTGCATGGCTCCTTTATAAGCAATCAGCGGAAATTCACAGACGTTCGGTCGAATGACCAATCCTCGAAATGGCACCGTCCAGTGGATGAGCCAAATCTCCTTCACTCCTACTAACCATGAATGACATGGGCCGTGCGGTTTTCGGATGGAACTAGACAGGGAGTTGCCGGGGCACGGCGCACCGTGGTCTCCAAGGGCGCACTGTTGTCATCATCGAAGCGCAAGCGAGCGATTATTCTGTGGAATGAATCCAAATCTGCAGAAGCCAAGAGCTGAGCATGGAGCTCTGTACGTAGGTGATAGGATATCCATACTTGGAAAGGCGTACCGTGGACCATTCCTCGCATTATGGCAACGGGGGGAGAAGTGGGGACGTGCGTGGGAAGACATCCATGGTTGGGTTGGATAAAAGTAGTAGACTAGAGGGTGGAGTTTGTTTGGTGGTTGCCCTCCGCCGCGCCGTGCCGGGAACTTACCTGCCTTGGGACTGAAGTCGGTGGCTTGATGGAGTATGTACCGGTATTGTAATGGTAAAAGTGGCCCTAGGAACCATCGGATGTTTTCCCCTGGTTTTGTTACTATTCTTTTTGTTATTTGTTGCTCCCCCTTTCGTGTGTGCCGAGGAGATACTTCCTTACCAGATGGTACTGAATTACAGGCTGCTATCAGTGCCTTCTTCCTCGTCTCCAGTCGCATCTCTAGTCCAGGAAACAGCCCGAATCTTTTGTAAGAATACCTTCTCGCTTCCAGTGGTGTTACAGTTGCGACCGACCTTTCAGAATCATCTCGCAACCGACCGTAAGACACTTACCACTACTATTTTCCGTTGAGGAACCTTCTTCCTCCTGATTGTTCACCTGGAGACGCCACTCTCGTTACACCGCCACATCGGGGATGATAATTATGGTCGGTGTTTGGTTGTAAGCATACTTCAATTCCCGAATTACACTATCAGCCCCGGCTATACCGTGCTATGACCTAGCTATGATTGTTTGAGTGCTAGCTGAACCGTTGGTGCACCGCAACTCTGCTCCATATTGATTAAGACACTCCAAAGCAATATGCTCACTATCCACTTGAGCCCGAGTGGCGAGACCAGCCCGCGATCATAGTTTGGGTTCCAATCAGCGATGGATGACCCCTGCAGCATCACCGCCGGGCGGCCGAAATGCCCACCTTGGCGCTACACTATGTAGTGACCCTTGTCCGGACTACCTGGATCGTGGAGCAGCGACGCTGGGACTCGCCTTCTGGACGCCAGTCAACGTGGTCTGCTGCACGATCCTAGCCCGTGGCGCCGCAACGTAAACCACATGGCCTCCTTTAGGCAACCTTAATCATCCTTTTGGAGTCATATCTAGCGTCAACTATGTCAACCACCATATTGAGGGTGCAAATGCCGGCATTGATGGGGCTATGGTTCAGGGAAAACGTTGACAGAGCCGTTCCAGCCGGAGAAGGCCGTCCTCCACTTTTCGCCATTGAGTAGCTGGATCCTGACATTCGCGGAGCCCAGTAGTACTCTTTCTAATCGAAGGGGCCATGATACCCTACCACGGACCTAACAATTAATGCAATTTGCGCCAACCCGATACACAGTCTGGGTCCCTTCTTTGATCACGCGGAGTCTGTACTCGCAATCAATGTGGGTCAACCTGTTACGAGTCTACAGCAGCACGGTGTCTGGCGACTAGCAACCACACAGTATCAATTACCTCGGTTCCCCGCACTGGAAACATACTTGATGTTTTGTCAATGACAACTCCTTCCCTGAAAGTTGCTGTCTACCCTAATTATGCATGATAAGGTTCACATACTGTCACTTCATCTCCGCCAACTCACCGCAGCCACAAGAACATGATTTCCACCCCTCTAATTCCTTGACACTCATGAGTCCAGATCACCTGTATAGTGGGGTTATGAAATGGCCTATAGATCATCGAGCGGGCAAAGGGTTTACTGAATCCACGACACCGCCGATCCCCGAGCGTCGCTGGACATCGGAGAATTTTAGACTTTTTTTCCTTCTTCCTTCGCGACCATCATACCATCCGCAATACAGGAACCGCGATCGACACCACCACTACCAAAGCCGGAAGATATCGGAAAAAGGACGCGGCAACGGAAAAAGTCCCTGGGTTTACAGCCAACTCTCAACCCACGTTATCAGGCAGATCTCTACCCAACAATCAAACCAACCTTGGTACGATCTGTCCCAGGTCCTCGGACCCAGTCCGCTTCGATCGCAGCAAACTCTATTTCGCTTCGTGCCGATATTGCGTATGACGTGTTTCCTTTGGCGGGAAGCCATCCTCGTAAAGAGGGAAATATAGTATATTGTGGCTGGAGTTGTAATCAACCACGGGGCCACTCTTAGACCTCGTCGCCGGTTATGCATGCCTGTCGATCCTATCGCCTCCTCGTGCAATACCTTATAATTACCACTATACTTCTTTAGGAAGTATGTGCGTCGAGGCCCGGGCCCGCTATTCTGCAGTCCTCAGCCTGGACCATTCACTAAACCTACGGGGTGTTTAACAATCCGTAGCGAAATTAAGCACATTGTTATTGAACAATTACCATTGTCCTATTATTAGTCGCGTCATAATAGGCAAGGCGATCTATCTCCATTGCGTCAATCATCTACTATTGATAATCAACAGCTAATAGCACTCTTACTGCCGCATCATGATACGATCAAGCGCCTATCAACAGGGCCTAGATCCCACTAACCGCACCTCCACATCTTCAGACCCCCGCCTCCACAACGTCCCAGAGACACGAAGGCCTCGTAATCGATGATCTTGCTCGCGCCACAGACAAAGAGCATCGGTGTCTCCGAGCTCCGTCTCAACTCTAGAACCCTTAATAAGGAAATAAAATGGTTTGACAGATTGTCTCTATGACGAGCCCATTGTCCAAGAACTCCTTTGTGCTCTGAACCTTGGTTTGCATCTTGGACTATCTTCAATGGTGCCGGGGACGCGAGTACCTTGGTATGAACATTGGCGTGATGGCCTACACTATCCTCCTGGCGATTGAGGCGTGGTTGTTGGCAAACGAGACCTATGGTAGGCTCATTCCGGTTCAGCAATGGATGAGTAGAGAGTCCAGACCTTCGGTCTTTCGCCATTGAGCCAGAGATCTTGGAATCGGGGTCGGGGAGGCCGATGTCAATCACGTATCTTTACATCTACATTGGAGGAACTCTGGATCTGAATGGTGTTTAGAGATGCCGTTTCCGGGAATGACGATCCTGGGGAGGCGAGTCCCCGGAAAGAGAGAAAGGCGGGGAGTTGGAGAACACGGAATTCGCCTTTCCTTGTGGACTGGGTCAGGATGTGGCATTGTCTTGGAGTACTGTGTCGGGGTTGGAAGCCGATTAGGACCATGGATAGGCTTGGAGGGAAGGGTCCGGATCGGGACCTTTGTCTGATTGTGGGTTTAGCTGTCGGGTTGAGATTGAGCCTTTTGGTTAGTGGTGGCTGAGATGGGGCAGACCATGGGGTATACGAGGTGATGTTTTAGTGTTGACCTAGTACACAAGAGAGTGAGGATGGGCGAAATGGGTTTTGACAGATCATATAGGATTGCTACAAACATGATTCTATCTAAGGTAGGTATTGTTTGCTACCCAGTTTACTACTATGTACAGCCCTGCCAGACGTGCTACTCTCGATGACTGTTATTGATTTGCTACCGGGGTGAGAAATTAGTTCAGTGGTAAGTAGTAGTACTAGTCTACTGACGGATGCACTGGCAATCCTGATAGGTAAGCCGTCCAATCATAATCTGACTATTCTTGGCCTTATCCTTCAGTAAATGCAGTGGAGCTTGTGGAATAACTCAATATGTGAATTATCCCACACTGTAATATTCCAAGGGATATGGATTGATCCAATGTTTCAATGGACGGCTGTATTCCGCATTGCGCATAAGGACCAATTATGCGCGGTGCAGCAAACATAGTACGCAATCGCAGGCCTCACTGCCTCAGGCCTTGTGTAACGCTCGGAATAGGTCCGGGTTCTCCGACATCCGTTTATTCCCGTTCCGTGAAAAAAAGGGGCACAGCGCCACTGTGGAAGAAGAAACCTGTTCTATACTGATTTTTTTTTTCTTTTTTTCTATGTGGAAACTCAATTCCTATCTAGATCATTGCCACAGATTGACCTCATCTGGTAGATTTTCTAATTTTTAATTTTGAAGAGTTGGTATGTAAATCTATCGGAAATTACAGCGTAAATGCAATCCTGTCTGTCCTGGTATTTTTCTCGAGCGGTGAACATACCCATTGTAGCCCGTTTCAAGATGTAACACCACCGGGGCCACGCTAACACTGCCTCGTTGGCCTTAGCGCGCCCCACTAAAACCAGGGTGACTGTGGTGGTTGGAGTATCCGCGAGTACCGGTCAGCATCAACGGCTGGAAACGGAGATAGTAGATACCTCCTAGTCGCCTACTCACTCTATGCTTGGTGGCATGCTCAGCTCGCTCCTGTCTGGCCAGCTCGGGATTTAGCGACTAGCTTCATATGCATGTGGAGCTGGAAGTCTTCGCTCCAAACGTCTGAACCTTGAAGACGGTGACGGCATGGTCGACTTGCCCCCACCCAATGAGCTTGTCGACATCATACTAATCCGACGGTCTTAGTTAGTTGTCGCAATGATCTCGCCTTGCCCCTCGGCTAAACGGTCGTCATCTGCAGCTTTTGTTTCGCTGTTCTCCTGGCTGTTGACCTCTTCCTCTTGTGTTTCTGTTCACTGACACTGAGAAGGAGAAAACGAAAGCCTACTCACAATGGATCCTATTCGAGCGGAAGCTATTCACAACGAGAGACATGTCAAGGTGGTCTGCGTGGGTGCAGGTGCCTCGGGCTTGTGTCTGGCGTACAAGCTGCAGAGGTCTTTCCAGAATTACGATCTTACTGTGCGTTATCTATAATATTATTCCCTTTTTACCTCTGCCCGCTGTTCTAACCATGACTGCAGATCTACGAGAAGAACCCTGAGGTTTCGGGCACCTGGTACGAAAACCGCTACCCAGGCTGTGCTTGTGATGTTCCCTCCCACAACTATGTCTACTCGTTTGAACCCAAAGCAGACTGGTCATCTGTATACGCGGGCTCCAGCGAGATCAGAGGGTACTTTAACGATTTTGCGAACAAGTACGGCCTACGCAAATACATCCACACGTCGCACATCGTCACTGAAACCACCTGGATCGAGGAGTCCGGCCAGTGGCAGGTGACGGCGACCGACCTGAAAACGGGTCGCACAGTACATGACTGGTGTCACATTCTGATTCATGCGACGGGCTATCTCAATAAGCCTGCTTGGCCCGAGATTCCGGGTTTGGCCGATTTTAAGGGCATCAAGCTACACAGTGCGATGTACGATGAGAGCGTATCGCTCGAAGGGAAGAACGTTTTGCTGATCGGGGCGGGTTCATCAGCTGTTCAGATTCTCCCTGCCATTCAACCTATTGTTAATGAAGTGAAAATCTTTATCCGTTCGCCGACGTGGCTGTTGCCGGATATTAGCACCGAGGCGGGCAAGTTCCCCGAGGAGCAAATTGAGCACTTTGTAAACAATCCAGAGAGTGTGACAGAACTGCGCAGGGATAATGAACGGACTATGAACAGTATCTTCAGTACGTCAAAGGTGCCTGTATCGACAGTGACTATTGCTGACTACTACGAACAGCCATGTACCTCAAGGATACTGTCCTTCAGGAGCAGGCAAAAGGTCTCCTGACATCGGTTATGAAAAACGCCTTTCAAGACCAAGACATGGAAGACCGTTTGATACCGAACTTCTCTGTTGGTTGCAAGCGCGTGGTACCATCGGGCTTCAGGTATCTAAATGTGAGGACTCCACATCCCTGGTTATTCTAGGTGATACTAACACGCGTGGTAGACTCTCAAAAAAGAGAACGTCGACGTGGTCTACGGTGGTGTGACATCCGTAACACCATCTGGTTGCGTCAGCGAAGACGGGAAGGAGCATCAAGGCGACATTATCATCTGTGCCACAGGGTTTGACACATCCTACATACCGCGCTACCCTGTCATTGGACCCAATGGTCGCAACCTGCAGACAGAATGGGCCGAGTCGATCATGGGCTACATGGGAATAGGTATTTCCGAGTTCCCCAACACCTTTACCATGCTTGGCCCCTACACGCCTGTTTCCAATGGTCCTACCATGGTTGCGATTGAAGCTCAAGCAGACTACATCTGCTCCTTTATCGACCGTTACCAAACGGAGCCCATTCATAGCATGGCTCTCAAGCGAGATGTCTGCGCTGAATTCAAGGAGCATGTCGGCTCTTTCATGCAAAAGGCCGTCTGGACGGACAACTGCCGCAACTCCCACAACAACCATTCCATCGGCGGTCGCGTTCCCACAACTTGGCCTGGAAGCACACTACATTATCTTGAGGCAATGAGAGAGCCACGTGCTGATGACTGGGATATCAAGTACAACGGAAACCGTTTCTCTTGGTTGGGCATTGGCGTTTCCCAGACAGAGTGGGATCCCACTGCTGATCTGGGGTACTATATCCGACAGTCGGATGATGGACCCTGGCACAGTCGGCGCAAGCGGAATTTGGCCATTGCCAAAACAGGTAGCATGGCTCCGCGTGCTCTTCATAGACAGCCAAAGCTTGCAGCCAAGGAGAAAGCCCAAGGCACCAAAGCTGATGTGCCGGACCAGATGCCGAAAGCACAGACGGAGCCAGTGTTTGAAACAACAGCGTGATGTGGGACTGTATAAGGATAAGGGTTTATGGAGTTCAATTAATCCTCCACTCCTTTCCCTACACTTAGGAACCAAGAGCTTGTCCTTCATTGACATGCTACCGCCATCTGAGGTTTGACTGGCAGGAAGATATGCCTTATATCCTCGTCAAATACTCGGAGGTTCACGACTTGGCACACGAGGTCACGACTAAATAATATACTTATATGGTGCACATCCATGAGAGTCTTATCCCGATTGTTGACTCATGGCCTTGGGATCCAGGACCAACAGAAAGACCTGGCTTCGACCATGCCGAGGCCATCCCGAATTTATATCCCCACTCACGGAGATTCAACGCATCTCGTGCCGACTATCTTCGGACCTCTTCAGAGCCTTTAGGAATATGCTAGACAAAATCTAAATTTATATTTGAGTTATACTCCGCAATTCCACCATGGAATGGAAACATCATTCTTTCTAACATTGCCATTGCACCTCACACAAGTACTTACTCTATTAGATAGTTGAATTGTGAAGTAATGTGTCTACCACTTTTGCCTATTACTTATTATTGCAGGGATCTTCCAGCAATTGGGCCAGTCGTTGCGACCAATTTGCCCTAGCAGTTATCGGACTCCAGAATACCTGAGAGAATCCCATACGGCGAGCCTTGATGATAGTTGCATGCAAGGCTTTATCGAAGGTGATATATGTTGATCTTTGGATGATGCATATCATTTAGCAGGCTAATACTAGGCAGTTGAATGACAACCTTGGAATTGTTTGAATCGAATCTTTTGAGTAAGTGGTTA